AATGGAGAAAAGAAGACTGACTTTAAGCAGTGGTATTAGTAAAGAGTTAAGAGCAAAGCATTCCTGGAGGCTTGCTGCCATTAAGAAACTACACCTTCTCCTCCTGCCGTACCCCACTGCCCCCAGTACTGGGAATTGAATCCAGGGATGCTCTATCACTGAACTACATCTCCATCCCTTTATATTTTATTATTTTTAAAATTTTTGGTACTGGGAATTGAACCTGGGGGAACTTTACCACTGAGCTATATCACCAGTCCTTTTTATTTTATTTTGAGACAGGATCTTGGGGAAGACTAACCTCATGAATAGGTCTAAAATGGTAGTAGACAATGAACTTGAGCACACGTCATTTCCCCCACAGCTGAGGTACAGCCACTTCTCTGGTTTACACTTGCATGGGGCTCAAGCTCAGCTTGTCCTTGGTGGACTGATCTGCCAGTATTCTGAATCCTTTGTTTTATATTTTTGGTTCCGGGATTGAACCCAGGTGCTCTTAACCACTGAGCCACATCTCCAGCCCTTTTTTGTATTTTATTTAGAAACAGGGTCTCACTGAGTTGCTTAGGGCCTCTCTAAGTTGCTGAGGCTGGCTCTGAACTCGTGATCCTCCTGCTTCAGCCTCCTGAGCCACTGGGATTATAGGCCTGTGCCACCATGCCCTGCTGAAACCTTTTTGTTTTCGTTTTAAGATAGGGTTTTCCTATGATGTCTGGGCTGGTCTTCCACTTTTGCCTCCTGAGTGCTGGAACTAAAAACCTGGCTTTTTAATTCTCAGTTTAATTCCACTTGTTTATCTTGCCCCTTCAAACATGAGACTTCCATTACAAATGTTATTTTACCTGACCCAGTGTGTCTGACAGCTTAGTTAGGACTCTGTTGCCACCTAGTGGTCCTTGGTCACCTTGCTAGTCCATTGCGTGTATGCTAGAAGGACAAAAGCAAAAGATTTAGATATTAAGCATTCAAAAGGTCTGGAGAGATCACGATGATGGTAAAGAAAAAAACAATTAGGCACAAGAAATACAGAATAGTAAGAGTTTATAGCCTAAAAGACTTTCAGAGTTAAATGTCACTAGCTGTCCATGGGCTGTGTGTGGACTGTTTCACATAGTAGCCTCCTGAGGAGATAGGTCTGTTATAGTTAAAGCTTTGTCCAGGGGTCATAAATTGACTTCCAGACCACTCACATATAATGGAATCAACCCTTTATTGAAGCATACTGGTGGCGACTGACCAGAACATAAAGCTGATACCCTGATCATCCCCGAACAATTGCAAGGGTGCTCCTTATAAGCCCGAAAACCGCAAAAGGGACATTTGGGGGTCCAGCCAATGCAAGCAAGCCAGGTTACAGAAGCAGGAGAGTGCAGAGAGTCAGGCAGCGGGATGCTTAGCCAATCACAATTAGCCAAGTCACCCCAGTTATAGAAACAGAGCCCCGTTACCCTAGTTACAGAAACATTAGGTAGTCCCATGTTCTTAATGGTTTCTATAGCAAAAGGAAAAGAACATCTTGCCCTGATCATGACCCTTTTACTTGGCATGGTTGTTTTACAAAATGGAGTTATTAAACAAAATGGAGTCATTGTGGCTTGACTATCACATTCCCCACATCATTAGGCCTCAGTTTCTTCCCATTCTTCTAAGGGACCATACTGGATTCACAAGACCATAAGTTGACCTTCCCTACATTTATGTATATATGGTTTAGGAGGGTTTTTAAGAGGCAGGTTCCTACAGTAATCCCAATCAGGAGAAGGACTAGGGGCCCAACTGCGGCTGAGATCATGGTATTCAACCAAGGGGATCATGAGAATAGGTTTTGGAACCAATCACCTGAAGCTTCTCGTGTTTTCTCTCTTTCCTTTAACCTGTTTAACACTAGTGCCAAACTGTCTTTTATTATCCCAGAATGGTTTGCATAGAAACAAGTTTCTTCTAGGGCCAAAATCCTCCTTGTTTTAGAAAGAGAAGATCTAGATCCCATCACGTCATTCTGCCAGAGAGTCTAGTGAAACCTCTAGTTTGGAGATTGAACTTTTTAGTTTTTTTAAGTCTATATCTATTAGGCAGCTGAGGGACTTAAAACTTTTAGAGCTTGTAATAAGAGCTGCAGTTCCTAAAGCAGTAGATCCAATTATTCCCAAACCAACCAGGAGGGGAACTAAAATGGGGGCAGCCCGTTTGTGTCAGTAAATCAGTGGGCCCTAGCCTTCTAATAAGTTCAGGTGTTCTTTTCCTTTCACTCCATCAAAATAGTAGGTTTGAAGAAATAGATGAATTGTGATACATAGTTGAAGCAAAATTTGAGGTGAACAAGGAGTTGTCCCATTTATAATTTGGGTTGTGAAAGCTGGAGATCACCCAGAGTGATCTTGGAGTAGTTCCCCAGGTATATCTTCCTGAGCTAGACATATTGGTGAACATCTATACTGACCATAATTTCCCCTCTAATGTTAGGGACCTCCTACTGCTGTAAGAAAAAAGGACGATGACTGTTCTTGCTGCTTCAAACTGAGAGGGGGCTATGTGCAGTGGGCAAGCAGTTTTGAGTCCCTTTTTAGAAACTGAGTAGGTTAAGGAGTCCATGGTAAAAATCTGGTTCAGGAAGAACAGGTTGTAAATTCACCTGGGGATGGGCACTTCTATGAGAGAAACAAAAAGACATGAGTACTGAAATAAGATTAATAAAAAATAGCAGTTGTAGCATCTGAAAACCTGTCCATGAATATCATGAAAATGATAGAAATTAATAATTGTTTACCAGGAGGTGGAAGACCTGAGAAATTGTCCCCATAACAAGGCCTAACAAAGCCTAATAAGGCCCTTTTTTAGGGAATATAAATCTTTAACATTGTCAGAGTTATCAGGAATGTAGACACAAAAATTAGTTAAGTTAGTTAATGTAAAGATCCCTTTGTTACTTAGAGTTAGATAATTATATTAATAAACACTGATTACATCTATCTATGTAGGAGGTTAGAAATATCTGTAGGCATTAAGCTGACTAAAAACTTCTGGCAGTTTTTATTGATAGTTATCGGGCATTTTTGCCTAAGAATCTCTCTTCTTTTGCCTCCAGTCTTACTTATTTTGGGGGATACTAACACAAGTGTACATTTTAAGTTAAATGCCCAGGAATGGCTGTGCTTTGGTTTAAGACCAAGCTGGTCAAACTGACCTTGTTTCTATCTATTGTAAGAGTCAGCTGAGTTTCCTTGGAGGACATTCTTGGGAAACTTGTGAGCAGCATTTTAGCTCTATTAGTGTCATCTGCATTAGGATGAGTCAAGGTCTTGCTGACCATGTGGCTTCCCTTGGAAGCATCAGGCATGTATCCCCTTTTCAAAAACTTTCCTCTTTTGCAGCATGCACACCATTGGCTTTCTGTTCTCCATGGTCTCATTAATCTCCCTTATTGGGAGGTTATGTGGCCTGGAGTTGCAAAGCTCTTCCCCTTTTCCTGGGTTCTGGCTGACTCAGAGGGTAAGAGCCAAATATTGGTTTTCTTGGCCCCTTTATTTTAACCTAAATGGTTAAGCCTTGGCCTTAAACATCCAGCAAGTCAGTTTTACCAGTCTTAAACTAAGAATGCTGGACTTTAACTTTAATGTTTATAACTTTACAGTTAATTTTTTAATATAATTATTATATAAAAATATAAAATTATAAAAAATATAAAAATATTAAATATAAAAATTATAAAATATTATAATTTATGTAATGCTGAGGATTGAACCCAGTATCTCACACATGTAAGGCAAGCACTCTATTGCTGAGCCATAACTTTAACCCCTTTACAGTTAATTTAATCCCTTTTAATTATTATCTGTCTATATAATGATGGCTTAATATCTCAAATTAATTTAGGTTGTGTTTATGAAGTATTACCTCTGTAAAACATTAACAGGCATCAGTTATTGTTAGTTGCAGAGCAGGCTGAACAAATGTTAGCTTCAGGGTAGCCTGGACACTTGACCCTCACCTGTCTGGTTCCTTATTGCTTATTTGCCTCAAGTCTGAACACTCAACCCCACTCAAGGTTGAACACTCAATCCCACTCAAGGCTGAACACTCAGCCCTACTCAAGGTTGAACACTTGACTTTCATTTGTCTGGTGCAATGGAATCCCGCATCTGACCCCTGTCTGGTCAGCCTGAAAGCAGAAGATGACATCCTTAGCAACTACTCTATGATCCAATCACTGTACATCAACAAGGCAGCTTACAGACCCAGAGACCCCATTTGATTTTGGCTATAAAAACTCTCTTCTGCTGGACCCCCCTCTCTTTTTTCTATTCTCCTCCTTTTCTGTTAATCAGACACTGCCACAATAAAGATCTCTTGGTCACTCCAAGTGTCGTGGTCACTTTCCTTTCAGTTGTAATGAAAATACAAGTAAAATTAACAATAGTCAAAACATATTTAGCTTGTATATAATTTTGAAACCTGGCTTAGTTATACACTATATTTTCTATTTGAGAAACAGTAATCTTTATAATAAAATCAATCTTTTGAATATAACTTTAAATCAACTGAAGTCTGGCCTACTTTGAAGTCATTCTGACATGCTGTAAGGTAGGAGGCAGAGCCTTATCTCAAGTAAGGCAGGGCTTTTTACAAATCTTAGGTAAAGTGTTCTAGTTCTGAAGCTGATCTTTATCTCTCTTTTTAGATAACATTTTATAAAGTTTACAGTTGAGTCTGTATGAATGTTAGCTAACACAATATGACATATATCTGAAACATGAATCAAGAAAAGGCTGAGAGCTCTTAACTTTCCTTTTGTGTGGAAAAGTGGCAAAAAAATATTTTACAATATTAACCTTTAAATAGATCAGGCTCTCATTACTTTTTAAAATACCTTTAAATTTTTATATCCCAATGTAAAAGGTAACATACGGTTTGGTTACAAAACATCAAATAATATAAATAAATCCCCAATACATCTATTATCCTTATAAGTTTAAAATTACAATTACAGACAACTTTAGTTTGGAGAACACCAGCTTGATAATGTTGAGAGCCACAGCCAAAGGGGCCCCAGCAAACTTCCAGCTGCCAGCAAACTTCCAGCTGCTGGCTGATGATTGGCTCACAGCGGCCCCAGCAACATCTAGCTGATTGGCTCCTCGGCCCCAGCAACATCTAGCTGATTGGCTCCTCTGCGGTGATGCTCATTGGGCTGTTTCCCTGCCCTTTCAGACCACGGAGATGCTCATTGGGGGACTTTTTTGGCTCCGCCCACATGACCCAGCCAATCGGCCTCAAGAGCAGGAGGATTGTGGGAGGTGGAGAGAAGCTTGTGTGGGAGAGAGAGGCTTGTGGAAAGCCGGTGGTGGCAGTTGAGGCTCTGAGGGTTTTTCCTGAGAGGCTGTTTTGTTTGGCGTGTGTGGTTCTAAAAATAAAGTTAGTTTCTTTTGACAAGTGGCTCCTGATTGTGCCCAGCCAGACTGCGGCAGATAAAATGTTATTTTAAATCTTTTACCTTAAAGACTTGTATAACTGAAAGATATGAATACATTTAATCTGTAAAGAAGAGTAATGTACCACACTTTTATTGATGTTTTTATATTAACCAAGGTTAGCTTTTAAAGAAAAATCTAGACTCTGTAATGTAGGACAATACTTTAAAATAACGCTGTTTAACCACAGATGTACAAACCTTAATTTCTCCAAGATTAGTTGCTCCAGAGAATAAAACTTAACAGACACAGTGTAATTAATATTTTAGAAGTTTTTGTCATTTTAATATATAAATATATCAGTACATTAATATTTGTCCTTAGGGAACCAACCTTGAATAGTTTTAACTATTTGGGTTACATACATAACCAACTTAGTTACATATAAACCTTTTAATATTTATCTTTTATTTATAGACCTTTATATTACTTAATTAGAACCCTTTGATTATTTACTTAGATGTATTATAATTATAATTTACCACATAAAGACTTTTTAACCTGGAAACATTTTTTTACTAAATATATTTTTATATTTAGAACCTTTTAATAATTTTTAATCCATTGAACCTTCTTTCAGTTTGTACTTTAAAACAACTCTTATAAATTTCTGAATTTAGATAAATTAATCAATTTTAATAAGATAAAATATTTTGTTATTTACAGTACTTTAATTGAAATGCAGTTGAAACCTCTTGACTCCTTATGTAGAATTGTACCTGTTGGGACTTTTAATTTATAGTAACCTTGTTCTTGTGATAATATAAAGTAATTTTAAATTTTTTAATTTACCAATATATGAAAATGCCAACAATATTTAAGCATTTTACCTTATGAAATTTAAGGAGTTAAGAGTATTTGATATAATATTAAACAGCATTTTAACTTTGTAAACCAATCAGATATCTCTAACAAACACATCCATGATTAATTTCACAAATGTTCAGATGTAATTTACATATCTTTTTTAAAAACAAAGTATCAGACAAGTGCATTGAATAGCATTAGTAATTTAGAGACAATGGATATCAGACATTTTATAGACATTAACATTTTAAGAACTATTTAACCACCTAGAAACAAAATTGTGCATTAGTAACTTTAAAGACATTTTTACTTTTATTTATTTTCCTAATTTAAATTGAACCTTTTAAATCACATTAAACAAAAGTATTTGAATCCATTTTTTTATGAGCTCATATGTCAATTTTTGGTACCAAATATATATAGACATGGCAATACATATAGATGGACAGTACACCGGTGTATCCACACAAAGCAAACAGACAAACAAAAGCCTTGTAGTTTATTTTTTAAAAAAACATATTAGATTGAGAGTTAACCCTTGTTAAATTGGCCTTAGAATAAAGCAGAGTGTAATCAGAAAAACATATTAACCTAAAAATGTCAGATCAAAATCATGAATTTAACAAATATGGAATTTTAAAAGCCTTTCTGACCTTTTTCCTGAGGTTGTCCTGTTCATCAAAGCTGGAAAGTGTTAAGGGAACATAGACAAATGAAGGGGCCTTATTTTTCCCAGAAAGAATTTCCCAAAGACACAGCTCCATTGGTCTCCTTGGGAGAGTCCCCCAGGTTGGGGGTCCCATTTCAAACTGTTTTTTCTGGTTTCTTGGATAGTGGCCACCAAATTTTAGCCTGACATTGAAAAATAGATCATTTTTAATAGTTGGGAGTTAATACATGCTTGCAAATACTGAGAAACAAAAGCCAAATTTCCTAGACAAAATTATGCTTTGTTTTACAATTCAGGAATAATAATTGTATAAAACACTTCAGTTTTAATCTGTCCTCTATAGGAACTGACATGATGTACCCTGTTGACCATCTGGCCCAGTTCCTAAATGAAGGCAATCTCTGGAATGCCTTTTTTACCTTTAGCTTTTACTTTTGACAATTCTTTTAGTCTGTTGACAGCACTTTACATTTTAATGCAAGCTTTAGTGAGCACAGTTAAAACCTTTGTAACCATTAACATTAGAAACAAACTAAGGTAGAAATTAACACAGAACACAAAGGGGACAAACAAAAACAAACCAACAGACAAAGACACTGACAAAGACATAAACCAGAGTCAGATGTGACCTAGGGAGGCCAGTTCTCTGTAGAACTTCCTTGTCCCATAATGTCGGGGGAGTGAAGGAGTCCTGATGAAAGAAGAGTGGTTATGAAAATAAGAAAGGCTCCCGCACAACACACTGCTAGACAAACAAGATAGACACAGGACACAGCCGGCAAGATAGACAGACACTGAAGAAATGACAAACAGCAAACAAGTCAGACACAGGAAAAACAATCGGTGAGGTCACACAGGGAAACCTCTAGTGGGGCAGAGACCACGTCTCCTCTTGCCCCCAGGAACAGATGAGGCCCCACAGGGAGGCCTCCAGGGAGACAGTGACAATGTCGTGTCCTGTCTTAGTACTCGGTGTACACAACTGCGTCCAATCTGACCTTGTCCCCAGAGGAGTTGACTCATCAGATCTGACAGGCCAGCAGAAGGCTTCTCAGCGTCCTAGGACGGATTGGAATCACCCGCGGAGCGAGGCTGAGGAATGTCTCTCAGGAGCTCCCCTCTACTCCGGGGCCTAGGTCCAAAGGCCTGTCATCGGAGGCAAATTTGACATGAGGGTAGGGAAGAAATGGATCCTGGATGAACCCCCAGATGTTATAGTTAAGGCTTCGTCCTTGGGTTTCATAAATTGACTTCCAGACCACTCACGTATAATCAAATCAAGCCTTTATTGAAGCACACCAGTGGCGGCTGACCAGAACATAAAGTTGTTCCCCTGATCAGCCCTGAATAATTGCAAGGGTGCTTCACTGCAACAGGGATGTTTGGGGGTCCAGCCAATGCAAGCAAGCCAAGTTAGAGAAGTGGGAGAGTGCAGTCAGGCAGAGGGACGCTTAGCCAATCACAGTTAGCCCAGCCACCCCAGTTACAGAAACAATGCCCCATTAGGTAGTTCTGTGTTCTTAAAGGTTTCTATAGCAAAAGGAAAAGAACATCTTGCCCTGGTCATGACCCTTCCACTTGGCATGGTTGTTTTACAAAATGGAGTTACTAAACAAAATGGAGTCACTTTGGCTTGACTATCACAGATCTGGCATTGTGAACTCCCTGTAGCACCCCCTCAAGCTCTTCCTTAGATCCCACACAGCACTCGAGATGGGTGTGACCTGCCAAGATGTCAGTGCAAGACATCACAAAGCAAGACTTCACTCTTGAAACCTTACCCCTGCCTTTGATGTACCCCCTTAAATAAGCCACCAGAGCCATTTTGTCTTTGTCTAGTTTAAGAACCCAAGTGGACTAGATCTATGAGGGGCTTCACTTTTGTAAACATATTTCTGAGTGTTTGTGTTTTATTATTTGTTAATTATTTGAGATATTAAGATTTAGGGCAGATTAATTATTTGTAAAATTAAGATTTAGAGTGGGTATTTGGAGTGGCTCAGATTCCTCTGGGCAGAAGAACCCTCCAGTGAGACACTACGCATCTTCCCCTAGAAAATTATAAATGTTAGTGATGGAGGAGTAGTGGGTGAGAATAATACGACAGGAGTGGCCCTGTCTGTGTGTACATGAAAAAGACTGAAGAAGGACATTAAAGTCAAAGGTCAAAGAATTCAGGGCCAGCTAGTTATAAGGGCCATCCACATTCTCCACTCAGAGGTGAGTGCTCTTTTTTAGGGCCACATTTCAACACTATTTTTTAATTTTTTCACATTTACCAGTACATTGTCTATAAAATATTGGTTGAATTGACTTGAATGTTGAAAATTCACTAATGGTGATTGTAAGGAATGAAGTTGATACTACATCTGTGGGTTAACTAACCTTTTAAATGGGAAATAGTTTCAAATACTTGATTTTTCTTGAGCCAAGCAACTATTTTCACCTTTTTTTTTTTTCTCTTTTGGTACCAGATATTGAACTCAGGGGCACTTAACCACTGAGCCACATCCCTACCCCTTTTTTCCTTGAGACAGAATCTCCCTAACTTTCTGAGTGCCTTGCCAAGTTGCTGAGGCTGGCTTTGAACTTGTGATACTCCTGCCTCAGCTTCTCAAACTGCTGGGATTATAGGAGTGGGCCACTGCTCCTGGTGCCTTTTGATTCTTAAAATATCTTTGTCGACCAACCTATCTAGAAGGTGACTGTTTTGTTGTTGGTACTGGGGATTGAACCCAGATGTGCTGTACTACTGAGCTAATCCCCAGCCTTTTTTATTTTGACAGAGGTCTCTCTAAGTTGCTGAGGTTGGCCTCAAACCTGTGATCCTCCTGCCTCAGAATTTGGAGTCGCTGGGATTATAGGTGTGCACCTACATGCCTGATTTACATTTGTAATTCTTGTAAAGAAATCCTCCTATAATGAGATATGCCATTTTAAACTTCCAAATTTTTCTGCCTGTTCTTCCTTGTGAGTTGGAAACATTGTGATGAGTGCTTAGCCTGGTGATGTTGACATATTATACAGTTTTAGCATGGTTATAATGTCAATATATAATAAATGCATGCTTCCCCATCAAATGTAATAACAAGCCACATGCTGCAGTGAGTTAAAACGGCAACATCTGAAGTTGTCTACTTTTCTTTTCCTTCTTTTTCTTCCTCCTCTTTTTCTTTTCCTTCTCTTCCCCTCCTACTTCCTCCTCTTCAGTACTGGGGAAGGAACTCAGGGGTGCTCTACCACTGAGCTATACCTCTAGCCTTTTTATTTTTGAGACAGGGTTTTGCTAAGTTGCCCAAGCTGGCCTTGAACTTGTGATCTTCTTGCTTTATCCTCCCTAGTTGCTGGAATTATAGGTGTGTGCCACAGTACCTGGATGAAGTCTATTTTTCTTGTTTTGACTTGAAGGATATGTACTGTTAGTATAAAATAAAATGAAAATAAAACAAATATGCTTGGCATATGAAATGCTGCTAAGACTCACTGAGCAGCAGTATTTTGTGATGAGAGTTCCATATATGGTCTCTGTTGCAATCTTCAACTCTGCTGTTGGAACTCAAATGCAGCCATATGTAAACAAATGAATGGGGCTGTGTTACAAGACTTCATTTGTAATACTTAACCTATTGTGTAAAGGTTTAAAATAATTTTCATGTCACAAAATAATATTCCTTTGATTTTTTTCAACCATGTAGAAATGCAGAAACTATTCTTGCAGATCAAACAAAAAAACAGACAGTGAGCTGTAGTTTGCCAACTCCTGGGCTAGGATATTGTATTTCTTAAAATTCCATAGATGTGTCAGGTCTCGGAGTCTTTGTAAGGGTTCTCCCCATCATCTGGGTGTTGGTGTTCATCATCTGAGGTACAAACATTTTTCTTTGGCATTCAGAACTCTAGCCTCTTTCTGCTACCAGGTCAGTAGAGTCATCAAAATAGTGAGTCAATGGCCAGAATGTCCAGGTGGTCAAGGACTATTGTCATTGTTTATCATCTACCTAGTTTAAGCAAGGACCCCTGGTAAATTGAGTGAGTATTCATAGAGAATAGAACTCCTGCATTGTCCTAAAGAAGTATAGATTTAACCTCACTTATTGAGTCAATTGTATTTGCTTCTTCTCCTTCTTCTGGTACCAGAGACTGAACCCAGAAGGGCTTTACCACTGAGTTAAATCCCCAGCTCTTTTAATTTTTGTTTTGAGACAGGGCCTTGCTAAGTTGCTGAGGCTGGCCTTGAACTTGAGATACTCCTGCCTCAGCCTCCTGAGTCACTGGGATTACAAGGGTATGCCACTAGGCCTAGTTCATTCCTGCATTCTTTTAGTTTCTGAAGGTGACACAAAACAGGATGCTTTATGGCTTAAATTTACTACCTTTGCCCAGGAAAGGAGATCAGAGAGGCATTTTAGGGGATTCTACTTAACTTTTTCCACTGGAAACCAGGGAAAGATTCTTTCAGTTGTAACAAGTCCAAAGGCATATGATTTGGGCTAAGACTCAATTTATCACTTGATTTCTAAACATCCCCACTCAAATTAGGAGATTGATGCTGTTTTGGGTCACTTGGTATCCATGATAACTTATTCATGTCCCTAAAAATGCCTGGGTATTCACTTTTCCCAGTGTAAACTTACTCTGGATAAATGGCAATTGGCCCTTTGAGGAAGGATCATGAATAGTTATGGTAACTACTTGCAATGATGCTGCAGGGAACTTCCTCAAGGGGGACATGGCCTTTCAATCAGTTCATTCTAAATCTGAAAACTGACTCAGGTATCAAAACTGGACAAGTGGCCATGATTTTAATTTGTGGTGCTGACTCACTCTATCTTGTTTAGAAATATAAATTAAGCAATACTTTATTGCATACCCATATATCTTGCTATGAAGATATTACTTTTTTATTCACCTTTGTCACAGATTAATGAAGTCAAAGTCCAACAGTTGTCACTCTGGCCTTGTTTTGTTGTCCCTTAGGATACTTACATCCACCTGTCTTCCTTCAGGTTTACTGTGGCAATTAAGACAATTCATTCCACAGAACCAACTTTCTTTCTGACACTTTATGCTGCCCCCTGTGTCTAATTCCAAATATCATCTCTATTGACACCAGTGAGCCCAGCTGCTCAGGGCTATCTCCTGTCAATACTAGCTTATGGGCCAGGTGTGGTGACAGTGTCTGTCCAGGGTTTCAGGAGGCTGAGGCAAGAGAAGCACAAGTTGAAAGCCAGTCTCAACAATTTAGTGAGGCACTAAGCAATTGAGTGAGAACCTATCTCAAAGTAAAAAAAAAAAAAAGGCTGGGGATGTAGCTTAGCTTAGTGGTAAAAAGTTCCTGGGTTCGATCCCTAGTACCAATAAATAAATATATTAAATGAATAAAAAACTGGCCTCCATGGGACAGACAACCCTGAGTATCTTCAGAAGCCGTTGCCTCCTCATGGATGCATTCCTTATGAAAGAATGAATAAAAGGTCCTCTGCGTCTTCCTGGGAAACGTCATCACACGGTAGTTCTTTGGAGTTGCATAGTAAATCAGTTCTAACACGCCTACCTCTCTAAGCCTCTTGACTCCTATCCCTGTCAAAGAATTTCTAGCATCTTCACATCACTTACTGTAGGCCTAATTTCTTCCAAACTTCCAAGGAGATACTCCAGCAGTGTACCAGGAATGACCACAGACGTCCTCGGCAGGACGAGCTGGGAAGGAGAAAGCAAAGAGCAGGAGAGTGAAGGAAAGACCACACACCCTCCTCTGCTAAGTTCTTTACCCCATGTCAGTTCTAGATTCAGGGAACGGGAGCACTTTGAAATGTATTACATTTAAAGTTTTAAACTGGAAAGTGGATTTTAGTACCTAAAAAATCAGACTGTTCGAATACCTAAAAGAGAAAGAAATGTGACTGAAAAGCCATTGATTTACCCATGGTAGATCCAAGGCAGAGAGTAAGGAGAGACAATAGTATTGTTTTTGGTACTGGAAAATGGATACAGGGTACTCTACTACATCCCCAGCTCCTGTTATTCTTTATTTTGAGACAGGGTCTTGCTAAGTTGGTGAGGCTGGCCTCACATCTGTGGTCCTCTTGCCTCAGCCTCCTGAGTCACTAGAATTACAGGCATGGGCCACAGCACCTGGCTGACATCAGCACCTCTGAAAGCAGTAGTGGAAGAGAAATAGGCTCTTCTCTCACTGTACACTAACAATCACAGATACTTCAAATAACTAGATGCTCAAGTGTTGCAGAACAGAATGATGTGACTGCCTCCCAAAGCTTCAACTTGTTTTTTCCATTTAGGAAATGGGTTAAAATAAGCCATTGTGCAATGTGTAACCACCAGGAATCTGTCCTTATAAACACAGAGAACAAAATGTTCAATCTGTACACCATAATTTGTGAACTGGTGTCAGAGACTTGGGAAATAATAACATTTGCTATACAAAAGTTTTAGTTATATACTATGGGGCTCATGGAAGGAAAAGAATCTGTGGGGGTGGGTTTACTGATCAAAGGAGGTTTCATGAGGGAGATGATATCTAAGCAAGCTGAATATGATTTTTAAAGATATGGAGAAAAGATGGGGATGTAGCTCAGTTGGTAGAGTGCTTGCTGTGCATGCACAAAGGCTCTGAGTTCAATCCCCAGCACCCTTCCCCCAAAAAGGAATGACTAAAGGTATGGAGAAAGAAGACTCTCCAAGTAGAGAGAGCAATGGGAAAAGGCATGGCAGTAAGATACTGGGAATGAGAATCCAATTTAGATGAAACAAGAGCCTATTACAAATGGAATGGAATGGAATGGAAAACAAAACCTGTAAAATCAGAGCTGGACATGGTGGCCCATGTGCATGATCCCAGTGGCTCAGGAGGCTGAGGCAGGAAGATTGCAAATTCAAAACTATGCTCAGAAACTTGGTGAGGCCCTAAGTGACTCAATGAGGTCATGTCTAAATAAAATACAAAGAAGGGCTGGGGATGTGGCTCAGTGGTTAAGTGCCCCTGGGTTCATTCTCTGGTACCAAAACAAACAAACAAAAACCCTGTAAAACCTCTTTAGCCTATAGCTGGAGAGTCTTGGACACCAGGATTTAGATTCCATTGGTACATTATTTTCTTTTTCTTTTCTTTTCTTTCTTTCTTTTTTTTTGTACTGAGAATTGAACTCAGGAGTCCTTAACCACTGAGCTACATTCCAAGTCCTTTTTATTTTATTTTATTTTGAGATAGGGTCTTGCTAAGTTTGAGGCTGGCCTCAAATTTGTTATCCTCCTGCCTCAGCCTCCTAAGTATCTAGGATTATAGGCACATGCTATCACACCAGTTTAAGTTTTTGTTCTGTTTACCAGTCAGCAATAGCTGAGTTGGAAGCAGGTAGAAGCCTGTTACTGAGCCATCCCTTCTGGATTTGGTAGTATCCAAATAGGTTCTTCCTCCCTTGTGCCCACTCATTGCCCCATTTCTGTCTGATCTGATCTGGATACAGGAAGTGAACTGTACACCTCTGTGTCAGACCCTGGGTGGAAAGAGTCCTTTCCCTCTGAAGTTGATTACCAGGATCCAATATCAAAACACTGTGTTGACATTAATAAGCATGTGTTTTTCCTCACTTGATAATCAAAAGAAAGTTATTAGAGGGCTACTAAGGTGTTGAAAACACATAATAACTGTCTCAGAGAGTTGGTATAAGATGCAACATACAACAAACATAAAGTGACCATCACTTCCAGGAAGAGCAGATATTCAATATTAAGTTTTCTCTCTGCCCTTTTCCTACAGATGGGAATGACTGACACAGAGTAAGTAATTTCTATCCTATAAATTTCCTCCTTGACCATCACCTCCCTGATGACATATTATATCCCCTGATCAATTTCTTTCCCTATTCCTGCAGACATTCTCTCTATGAGATCGTTTCACTTCTACCCATTTCTGTCCCCTTCTGGATACTATGGTTTGTGGCTGTTCCTCTGTGACATAATAATTCAAAGAGTTGCCCAGGTGTGGCTGACTAAGTAAGGAAAAACAGAAGGGGCCCTTCAATTTGGCCTGCATGCTACATTTCTGATTTACTTAGGGTGTTGTTTTGTTTTGTTGAGTTTAGTGGCCACAACTTGCTGTTGACTCATATTTAACTTCTACCCAAAGGAAACTCCTAAGCCTTTTTTTCCCCTGTGTGATTTTTTTAATAGAACTGAGTAAAGGACTTCTCATACCCAGCAAATTCCATCTGTAAGATTCATTTCCTCCGTTTTAGTCTGTAGCACATTAACAATGCTGTTTCATTCCACGTATCTTCCTCAGATTAGACAGGTTTCCCAATGATGTCCTTTATTGGAGACATTGCTAAAATGTTTAAATAGGACAGGGGGCAGCCCAAAGCCCTTTGATTTACCACAAGAAGCCTCTTAACAGGTTGAAAGAAATTCATTAATCAGCACTCTTTGGATACAGCTCTTCAACTGGGTATGAATTTACTTAATTGATCTAGAATCCAGTTCACATTATTAGATATTTTCTAATGAGGGATCTTGCCAACTGCCTTATCTAAGTCTACACACACAATTTATGCTGCATTTACTCTTATCTTCCAGTCTAGATGTCCACCAAAATGAAAATAAGTCTACTGTAGGATGGCTCTTTGAAGATACTATATTTATCAATAACTGAGATGCACTGTCCCTCTCCATCCCTCTTTTTCCCACCCCCAAATGATTTCTCAAATGTATCCCTTTTCATAGAGACAGCATAGCACTGTGTTTCAAAATACAAGTCCTAGACTTGAATCCTGGCTCTTCCACATACTGGCTGTATCAACATGGGCAACTTGCTTCAACAAAATCTGTATCTCAGGTTTTATATCAGTAAAATGTGGATGATAATGAAACTCACATTATAGGACTGAATAACCCAATATTTCTTTCTTTATTTTGTGCTACTAGGGATTGAACCCAGGGTTTCTCTACTACTGAACTATATCCCCAGCTCTTTGTATTTTTATTTTGAAACAGGCTGACCTATTTTGCCCAGGCTGGCCTCAAACTTGTGATCCTTCTGCCTCAGATTTGCTGGGATTATAGGCATATATTACCATGCCTAGATAAGTAACTTAATTGTAAAGCATTTAGAAGCATTTCTGGCACCTTAATAAGCAATATAAAATTCTGTAATTTGGGAGACTTTGGGGCTGGATAAAAACATGAGAATCATTAGCATATAAATAGTATTTGTCTTAGTTTGAGTTCCCCTGGAACTAGATCCTGACAAAACTTGGAGTGTCAGCAGTTTATCTGGGGGAAGAGTCTAAGAAATACCGGTGGAAAATTAGAGAAGTGAGACAGAAAAAGAAGGAAGTCAGTAATTGGTACATTGGAAGTAAGTTACCCCTGCAGATTACCTTACAGTGGCTATAATCCCACAACAGCTTCATTGTGGGATTCATCTTCTTCTTCCTCTTCTTTTTTTCCCCCCAATTGTGGGATTCTAAGAGAGAATATAGAACAGGCCTCAAAGTTATCCTAACTAAGGGACCAGAAAGCCAGGATAATTACCCACCAGACTGCATTCATCTTTGGCTGAAGGTTTCTCTGAAGGCATTAACTCTCTAGCCCTTTCAGCTTCTTTGCAAGAGTCCAGGGCTTCCTGGGTAATAAAAGGTCCCCAGGCAGAGAATAAAAGTGTTCCCAGTAGACAGCCTGTGAATGTAGAGCCAAGTCTTGAGGGGACATGGGTGAGGAACCCAAGCATGAGACTATCTGATATCACCCTAAGAATGAGTGAAATCAGAGAGCGAAGGTGTCTGTCACCAAAGCTCTAGAGTAGTCCAATACTTAGAGGTCAAAGAGATAGAAGAAACCAGCAAAGGGGACTGAAAAGAGGCCAGTGATAAAGAGAGAGTGGAGTCCTGGAATCTAAGGTAAGAAAGTGCTCCAAGCAGGGAGATCAACCATGTCAAATGCTGCAGAGTGGTCAAGTAAGGTGAAGACTGAGGATTGACCAATGGATTTTGCAACTTGAAGGCTACTAGTGACCTTGACAGGAGGATTTTTGGAGGCGAGGTTCAGAATAGGGAATAAATTTAATAGAGAAGAAAAAATGGAGACAACCTATATAGACAACTCTTTTAAATAGTTTTGTAGAGCAGCAGAAAGGCAGTTGGAGGGGGCATAGGGGCTAAATGAGAGGCTTTACATATGTGCTTGTTTAAGATAAGATATGTTGCAGCATGGTTTTATGTTGATGGGATCCATCCAGTTAAGAGAGGGAAAACCATGATGAGCTGTGCATAATGGCGTACACTTATACTTCCACTGATTCAGGAGGCTGAGGCAGGAGGATGGAAAGTTCAAAGCCAGCCTCAGTGAAAGGCACTAGGCAACTCAGTGAGACCCTGTCTCTAAATAAAACAAAAAATAAGACTGGGGTTGAGGCTCAGTGGCCGAGTGCCCCTGAGTTCAGTCCCTAGTACCAAAATAAATAAATATTTAAAATAAAAATAAAATAAAATATAAAAATGGGCTGGGTTGTGGCTCAGTGGTCAAGTTCCCCTGAGTTCAATCCCCAGTACCAAAAACAAAGCAAAACAAGAAACAAACAAACAAAAACCATGATGAAGGGGAAAGAGCAAAGGGAATGAGATCTTGCTACAATAGAAGGCAACTTCCTTAGGAACACAAGACTGTTCGTCAACAGTAACAGAGGAGGAAGAGGGTTTGGTCACAGAATACAGACAGGTGGTGAAATGTTCAGCAGCACTCTTCTAAGAGGTTCCAAGTTGGACAGAACCAAAGAAGTCAGCTGATACTTGGTGACTGAGGAGGAAAAGCTGTTAGAGAACTGAGGAGAGAGGAGAAGGTATGAACTAATCATCCAGAAATTGAAAATTGAAGAGGGAACTGGAGAAAGATCAAGAAGCACCAAAGGCTCATTGGAGGTTAGTGGCCATAAATTTAAAGTAAGAGCAGTTGCACGTTTGGGTCTTTCTCTAGCTATGTTCAGCTGCTTGGGTACAGGCATTGAATGTAAGCTATAGGATGTGTGCAGGAGTGGTACACAGTGGGTTGATCGTGTCTTCCCAGAAAACCTTTCCAACTCCTAAGTCCCAGAACCTGTTACTATCAACTTATTTGTTTTGTGGTACTGGGGCTGAAGCCAGGGGTGCTTTACCACTGAGCTACATTGCCAGTCCTTTTTTAAAAATTTTATTTTGAGGCAGGATCTTGGTAAATTGCCGAGGGTCTTGATAATTGCTAAGGCTGGCCTTGAACTTGGGATTATTCTGCCTCAGCCTTTAGATCACTGGGATTACAAGTGTGCTCCACCATGCCTGGCTATTATTATTATTTGGAAGCAAGATCTTTGGAGATGTAAGTAGGATAGAGGGAGATTAGATACACATGGAGACACAGAAATGAAGGATGATGTGAAGATGGAGGCAGAGACTGGAGTACTATACCTGCAAGTGCCAAAAATTATTGGCAACCACCAGAAGCTAGGAGAGAGGCATGAGACAGAGCCTCTCTCAAACTCTCCAGAGGAAACCAACCCTGCTGACACCTTGGTTTTAGACTTCTGTCATATGGAACTATAAGAGAAAAATTATTTGTTGTTGTAAGCCACCAGCTTTGTGGTAACTTGTTATGGTAGCCACAGGAAATTGACAAAGGTAGTGAACTCATATTTCAGTAAAGTAAAAGTGAATGGTTGGGGAAAAGACAAGGAAGCGTTTCTTGGGGACAGGGAAAGAGACAGGGACCACCAAAGTTTCTCAACTTTGGGACATTTCCTTTAGACCCTCTAGAAGAATATGGCTCCTCTTCCAGAAACCACATATCCGGATAGTCTGAGGCTATTTTGAGCCCATTGGCCCATTTCCATAAAAGTGTTTACAAATATTTTGTTCTCCAGGAAGTCATAACGTTCTGGTTTAATCAGCCTGGTCCTGTGGTCCTGAAGCTTTAGCTAGCAGCAGGTCTGTGCTGAGCAGTCTGTCTGGAGGAGGACCTCCCCGATTCTGCATTCTTGAAGGCCTGTCTTGTTTCATCTGGAATGAGAAGAGATGACCAGCATTGCACTTTGATGCTTTATTCATTTGATGCTTTTATTTATTCTGTTCTTTGCCTTAAGTTCCTAACCTCACTTAAGGAGTCCCTGCTTATCCTTTAAAACTTGCCCAAATGTCTTCTGCTTTGTTCTGAAATAGCAAAATTAATTATGGTTCCTTTCATGTGCTCACAGAACTGAACACCTCCACTTAATGGCTTATTAAATTCTATTATAGCTTACTTTTTTTCATTTCTTACTTGCAACACTCCAGAGGAAGCAGCATGATTTATTCATATCTGAATCACTAGTACTTTCTAGAACCTAGCTCAACAAATAATGTTCATATCAATTAAGGAAAGCAAAACTTGGTAAATCTACATAACATTCAAACTTTTCCCAAAGTATACAACTACTATGATTTAACTCTATCTATTTTAGAGTTCAAACTCTTAGAATTTGGCAAAGGAACAAAGTGCCATGAAAGTTAGTATGTCTTACATGAGCAAAGAGTTCAGGGCGGAATTATGGACGTTCTTGGCTTTGCCATTATGGTCAGGGAAGAACTTCTTTCCTACAGATGAAGACGGTTCCCCCAGGATCACAAGCTCTGTGAGTACATGGCAGGAGCGGGGTGGGATGGACAGAAACTTCTTATTTGGAATTAGAGCTCAGCAAAGGCTTTCTGGTATTAATCACTGAAAAAGCCCACTGAGCCATGGTCCTTCATTTGGTCACTGCAGAAAGCTAAAGTTTTTATGCCAGATGGTGTTCAATCTGATGTTATCATTCCAGGGGTTGTCAAAATGCCTCCTTTCATCATGTTTTACTTAGAGTTATACCTGGAGTTTTATGTATTTAGAAATATTCAGAATGACCCTTAGTTACAGGAAAAAAAAAAACAGCTGCTCTAAGCTTATATGTAAATATGTTCCACAGAAAAGATGAAATTCCAGTGAAGAGAAGCTGAGGGTAAAAATATAAAAGGAAGGTTTGAGTAGGTAAGTGGTGTATGTTCCCATGAGAACATGCAGCTGCTGCCAACAGAAACTATGGGAAAAGACAACACACTCTCTCTATGATTCAGGCTAAAATCAAATTTGTAAAGAAGACAAAATACACATGAATAATCCCCTTTAATACACCATGATCATTACTATCTCCAAGTCAAAAGCTGGCCTAGAGTCACAATGAAAGCTAGACTATTATGACAACTGCAGATGTTTGCACTAAATAATCTCCCCACTCAGGAATTCCAATGGCTTCTAACATCCACCACACAACATTTAAATTTCTTAGCTATTAATGTCCTCATAATATGGCATCATCATTTCTATCCCACCTAATTTCTGACCCTTTCCCCATTTTGGTCAAGGAGATCTTCTCACTATCCCCTGAACATTCATATTCATTCCCAACTTCAAAACATTTCTCACACTTTGTATCTCCTAGTGCATTTCTCTTTTTCTTAATCTAGCCAAAGCAATATATTCTTAAATTTCAATCCTAGTACCAGCTGATCTTTACAGTTCGTCACTGCTATGAATTTCTATACTGCTATTCATGAGGTAGAAACTCAAGCTAATGCTTCTATTGAAATCATCCATTATTTATGGACACTCTTTGGTTCACACAGTGTGCTAGTAGCATTATTGAGGTTTCTTGTTGATCTTTGAGCTATTTCCTTTGCTGCCTAGGATTATGACTGAGATAACCAAGGGCTTTTTGCTCCTCTTGAATCCCTATGCTAGGGAAACACTTTTCTATCTTCCTTAGGGAGAGAAAGCATTGGGGGATCCTAAGGTGTTGAAAACTCTTGGGATCTTCAACTTGAAACCATTCCTAATTGAGGGGCTCTTGAATAAGCCCCAGTTAAGCCTCATATAAATTTCTGATGAGGAAAATGCTGTACAGAGAAGGGAGTATTAGTTTCAGATCCTTTGACCACTTTTTGGATATCTGGGTTGAGGAATCTCCAATGGGCATATTCATTGGAATGTGCTGAGTCTCACCTCAAGATTCAGCATCAAATTAATTCTTATAGAATCTGAAATCTGATGGGAAATAAAAAATGGACAAGGCTATATATTCAGGTCCCAAAGTGTGGCAATCATGGTTTAATATGAACAGAAAATGGAATCTTCATAATAACATTTGCCTAATACCTGAAACTTTAAAATGCTGTTATTTGTATGACAATATCACCTATCTATAAAGGACTGGGGATGTAGTTGTGTTTCTGGAATCTCAGAAATTTAACCTGATATTTTTCAAAGTCAATCTGGTTCACTCGTGAAGATTGAAATAAAATTGAACAAACTTTGGTCTATCCTCAAATTACCTTTCTTTCTGTTGCTTATTTTATCTGTATATTATTGTAAAAAATACTAACTTTCCCTCTTGCAATTCTACGGGGGAAGTGTATTTCTCCCACCACTTCACTTTTGGGGGGTTGACCATGGAACTTGCTTTGGCAGAAGTGACACAAACAGGGCCTTGAAATGTGCCGCAGTGGTTGGGCCCATCCTGTTTTACATCTGTCATCTCCACCATCTCGACCCGTCTAGTGTAAGGTGGGTGAAGTCACATACAGACCCTAAAAAATGCAAATATATTTTCCTGTGTCTAGCTCCAGTGGTATAGTGTGCTTCAGACAAATGTTTCTTTCTTTTTTTTATTTCTTTTGATACCGGGGACTGAACCTAGAGCCACTTTACCCACCAGACTACATCTCTAGCCTTTTTTTATTTTAAGACAGGGTCTAAATTGCTTAGGGCCTTACTAAGTTGCTGTTGCTGGCCTGGAACTTTTGATCCTCCTTCCTCAGCCCCAAACTGCTGGGATTACAGGCATGTGCCACCATACCTGTTTTTCAATTTCTGACACCACACTTCCGTCTGAGTTGGGAATGCACAGAAAGAACTGTGATACCTTTACATGCACAGCTACTTATTTGAGTCCAAGCTCAGAGGAATCTGATTTTGATCCTCTATCTATCCCTGAACTGCTGAGAACTCCAAGGCAGGAGGCTACATCAGCCAGGGGCTTAGCAAGAAAGAGAGTATACTCAACTTAGTTGGGTAGAGGCTTTTTCATAAAGGAAGTATTTAGAGCTGTGGGTTAAATAGAGAACCTAGTAGGGATGCTTGCTACCAGAGAGGAACAACAAGGTGCTCTTAGGATCCCCAAGCCTGAAGAGGAGGAAGAGAAAACTGTTAACAGAGTTTGGTTAAGAGGGGTGCATTCAGATGGATAGTCAGCTAATACATTTCTCAAATTGGCATAAGTTGTTTCCTAGCATATTAATTCTTCTAATACAATAAAATATAGTGTCTATGTATCGAGGGGCTGCATGCAAAAATGGCAGCCCAACTGTAGCATAGCTGTAGTTTTGGTGATGAGGTCATTGTCAAAATCAGTGAGGCAGAGTGCGTGGAAAAGAATAAATATCCTGATTTCTTTCTTTCCTTCCATTGGCCATAGGGTAAGGAACCTGAGTGACATATTCCATAGAGGTCAGGCTCCCAAGACAAACAACATAGCAGGGAAGCATAGAGGATGGATTTACAAAGATTCAAAGAAAAACCAGGATAGATATTCATTACTTGCCCAGGTTTCCTCAGGTAAGAAAGCATGCATGCAAGAGGGGGCACAGCAAGACAGATATTATGTTTACAAGGAAATTGGTTCTGGAGAATTTACATGTCTTTGATTTTGAACTGAGTCGTAAAAAGAATGGAAAATTTAAAAATCTGTAACAGGTCCAGTAGAAGCATGGCACTATGTTGACCTCAAGAATTTCCATCATGAGACAACACTGTGGCACCAGATGCTGAGGACGCCTTGGTGAGGTGAGGGATGAGACTGAGTAGGTTACTCCTGTGGGAACTGGAGCTCATTTGTACTGGGCAACTCTAGAAGGTAGCATAGAATATGCTTCATTTATCCTACCCAAAGGATGAGAAAGCTGGAGAATTTAGATTTACTCCCACTCTACATTAGTTGGAGGACTGTTTCCAGAGGTTTGGGGGTTTTGTTTTTGTTTGATACTGACAATTGAACCCAGTGTGCTTAACCACTGAGCCACACCTCCAGCCTTTTTTATTTTGAGAAAGCCTTGCTAAAGTTCCCAAGCTGGCCTTGAACTTGCCATTCTGCCTCAGCCTTCTGAGTCACTGGGACTACAAGTGTGTACCACCATGCCCAGCTATTTTCAGAGATTTTAATTCCTGGATACTTCCAACCTTTCTGGCACCTAGAATGCTCCTGTGGTCAGAGAGTGCTCTCAAGCTAAGGGAAGCAAGCATTTGCAGTAGAGGGCTATTGGCTTGATTAAGAACCTTAGTGTGGGGGAGATATGTATGGGTCACTAAATGTATCTACTTCAGAGGCATGATTCATTGCAAACGCACTATTAAAACTCCCTCTTACTAGCAGAAATCCAAAAGACTGGCAACTGAAGGTGGCTAGATATGGAAAGCACAAACTATAATCTTACTTTCTTTCCACACAAGGTCCTTGCATGCACCTCCTAAATCCCCAGGCAAGCATTGAAGTTTAGGCTGATGGAGGTCTGAGAAAAATTTGTTTCTCAGAAGACATCAGGAACCGGTCAGGAGAGAAGCTTTAGGGAACACATCCAGCAAGAAAATGCAATGCTTTTTCATCATTGAGAATGTAGTGTCTATATTCCATGTAAATAATAGCTCTCTTATGCTGTAAATTTTGATCATCCTATATTATCCTATTTCTTTACAGGCTGAGAGCCATAAGGATTATCTCCTCAAAAGGAAATGGCTTACTGTTCTTCAGGCACAAAGTCCACATAGCACTGGTTTTTGTTGTTGTGTTTGTTTTTAAATTTTTATGGGTGTCTCCATCTCACTTGAATACCAGTCTTACAAGCTTTTTGGATCTCTTTAAACACCAAACTGAATCACCAACAAGACTTATTTGTAAGTCTAAATTGGGAAATGGGGCAGAGTCCAGGGAACTAGATAT